TGGGGCTCAGGAATGAGCTTCCTGCTTCCTGCCCACACCACCCCTTTTCCTGCATTTTATTCTTCATGTAGGCCAACTCACTTTCCTATTCCCCATATAAAACCACTTGCACTCATGATTCCCAAGGTAGGACCCATGCTGCATGCCTCTAGACCCAGCTCAGGGAGACCAGTGTGGGACCAGTGATTAGAAAAATCTCCTGCTTCCCTATATTTTGCAGAGCTAGCTCTGAAAGTTCTTGCTCAGATCCTAATGCTCTGTGCATACGAAGCCAGCCCATCCAACAGTGGTGAGAACAGGGACCCTACCCCTCTGAGGCGACTCTCTTGAGAACATGCATTTGGAGCTTTGCAACATGTGAAGACATGGTCCCTTCCATGCAGATGTTTACAACAGCATTATTCCTATCAGACAAAAAGTGGAAACCACCCATATGTCCATCAAAACATGGTCTGGCCCTGGAATGCAGTATCATTCAGCCATAAAAAGGAAGGAAGTGATTCACACAACAGCATGGATGAACCTCAAAAACATGATGCCAAGTGAAAGAAGCCAGACACGAAAGGCCACATACTCTATGATTTCATTTATAGAAATGTCCAGAAAACACAAATCTGTAGAGAAAGGAAGTATATCAGTGGTGGCCTAGAGGTAGAAGTAGGTATGGAGAGCTAGTACAAATGGGCCCGGGGTTTCTTTCTTTGGGGTGATGGAAGAAGGGTTCTAAAATTAGGTGGTGGTGATAAGCACACCCCTGTAAATTTACCAAATATAAATTCATCATAAAAACAAATAAAAGAGTGAGAGAAAAGAAAGGAGAATCGGTGAAATATTTTTAAATCCCTGTATAACTTTTGAATATATATTTCTGTTTCTGATTATTATAATGGTCATGGTTATTGTGAAGAAAATTTACCAAAAAAAATTATTTTAATGTTAATTACCTGGAGAGAGAATCACCATTTAGGCTTTGGTATATTTCTTCCTAATCTTTTTCTACTTCTAATTATATATTTTTAATTAGGATTACACTATGTTTTCAGTTGTGTCTCTTACTAACAAGATATAAAGTATATATATGTTTAAAACATCTGAGTGATGGATCCTACCAGAAAAATCTCAGTATTTTCTGGCTAAAGTGGAAATCCTGTTTGGTCAGGATTCTGAATAAGATCAAATAAAAGAAAGAAAAAAAAAAGATCAAATAAAAGAAAATACCTATGAACAAAGGTGTCCCAGGCCAGCTGCCTGAACAGCAAGCACTCAGCCCTACTTCCAGGGTCTGCAGTGCCTTCAGTATGGAGGTGGGTGTGTTTCTCTGGAAGCAAGATCATGACCTTCATCAAATTCCCCAAGGGGAACCCACCTCCCATTCCATTTAAAACCTACTGCCAGGCATGGTTCCTCTCTCCAGGGCCCTTCCTTCTCCTAACCTATGAAGACAGAAGCCCATGCAACCACAGGCAAATCCCTCCACTCATTTGGAGGATGGACATCCTCTGATCCGTAAGCAGCTCCCCTGAGAACGTGGCCCATGGGCTCCTCTGAGGGAGCTGCAAGGAGGAGAAATCAAAATTCTAGCTCCATATCCTAGGAGTTTTGCTCAAATTGAGGCTTTGTCCCTATTGAAATAGAAAATCCATGAGGGAGGGCCCAGTTTCAATCATGCTTTGGTTCTGTGTGTCATGAAACCCAGAAGTTCCAATATTTCCTGGGCCGCTGGAACCATTAGAGCCAAATGGGCTTGTGAAGAGTCATATTTTGAATTGCATCTGAATTTTGGATGGTGATTTTTTCTCCATCCTGTGATGTAAACTGGGAGAGACTATTTTCCTGAGGAGTTTCAGAGTCCGGTCTTCACCTTATCCATGAAAAAAACAAGCTCATTTTCCTTGATTTCAGAAGAAGACATCACCAGCCTGGCCTGGGAATAGCACACGGGGAAACGAAGACAGTAGTATAATTAAGTTCACGAAAGGCCGATTCTTACGGCCATATTTCAAATACTCATAATGCCTTTTCATCCATTCTACCAAATGACGGCACTTCATAATATACTCAGAGCAAAAAAATATAATGGTTTCCTCAGAGATATTCAATTATTCAATAAAAAAAAAAAAGGAAAAATAATTTTTCAGTAAAGAAATTCAACCAAATGACTAAAGCTGACAGTGAAAAACCAACCTCAAAGTAATTATGCATTTCTTTTGAGTTCTCGCTCCAACAAAAGTTGATGACGGGCCACCATTAGAAATAGCCATCCTGGGGCGCCTGGGTGGCTCAGTCGTTAAGCGTCTGCCTTCGGCTCAGGTCATGATCCCAGGGTCCTGGGATCGAGTCCCGCATCGGGCTCCCTGCTCGGCGGGAGGCCTGCTTCTCCCTCTCCCACTCCCCCTGCTTGTGTTCCTGCTCTCACTATGTCTCTCTCTGTCAAATAAATAAATAAAATCTTAAAAAAAAAAAAAAAAGAAATAGCCATCCTTCTGCTGATGAATGATGGTGGTGGTTCGACGTTAGCAGATATTTATTGGAATGTTTACTCTGAAACTGTCATTGGGTGTTGATATATTTCAAGTTCCACCAGCCCTGCTAAAAAATGTCTATTCTCACTTCTTCATGACTCATTGCTCAACTACCTTCAAGCTGGTTTATTCCCCATCAGTGGACCCCTCTCCTAAAGAAGTCACCAGTCCCCTTCTCCTTGCAAAATCACATGGCTTCTCTTTACCCCTTATCCTGTGGGGCATCACGACGCATTTCACGGCTGTTCATTGCCTCCTCTTCCAATTTGCATCCCCTCTGTCTTCTGCAAACCACCAGCTGCTCTCTCAACTCTGGGGTTTCCTAGGCCCCCACCCCCCTGCCCTTCTGCCCTATCACGTTGGGTAACCTGATTGGCTAGGACCCTTTCAAAGCATCTATGCGGACAGGTCCTCAGTCACTACCCAGTGCCGGCGAGTCTCCTAAGCTCTGCGTGCTTCTAGACGGGTGCACTGAATCTGAGGGGCTGTTAGCACAGTCGGAGCTGAACTCATGTCTTTCCACTCCCCACTACTTTCTGTTTTGGGGGGGTTCCCCCACCCCCCCGGCAGCCTCATCCAAGTGCCTGATAACCAAGATAAGACATTTATTTCTTATTCAAACTGCTCACATCATGCCTCAATCTGTTGCTGGTCTCCCTGCCTCCAGTGCCCAACATCCCCTGCCAATACCACGTGTGTTTCTAAAAATCAGATCAGATTGGCCCACTGCCTCTCTGAAAAACCTCCGGTGACTTCATGTGGTCTGGAGACTCAGTACCAGCAGCTGGTTATGAAAGTCAGGCCCCAAGCTCTCCCAGACATCTCGCGGCTTGTCTGCTTGCTCCTCCCATCCACTCTAACAGCCCATGATGGCGCCAGGCCCCAAGCTCTCCCAGACATCTCGGGGCTTGTCTGCTTGCTC